CGTTTGAGAGGGCCAGCCTGAGCCGCAGGCGAATTTGGTTGAAGAGTGTGCCTACCTTAGGGCGACTGAGCAACTGACTGAGGAAGCGTGCATGCGAGAGCACGCTAAGCGAGCATTGCAGGACCGAGCTGTATCTGAGAAAGGACGATGTACCAACCGCCCCTTGATCCCACCCGAGCCGAGTTGCAGAGATTTGCCTCGATCCCAATGTGGCGAGAGATTTCAGTTGATGGAGGTCCGCCGTTGTTCGGGGCCTGACTTTCTCCACCCTCCACCTACACCACCGGATACACAGTGACTAGTCTAGTCACTGTGCCCTGTACGTTTGTATCTTTTCTCTTCTCTTGTTTTTTGTTTTGTTTTCGTTCTTTTGTCTTGGTTTTTCTGTTGGTTGATCATATGGGTCACTTTCCTTGCACTGATGATCGACAATGGGGACATTGTTCGGTTTTAAATGTGGGGGAGTTTCTACATGTTTATGTGTTTATATGGTTGACCAGGTCTAGATCTTTTAGGATGTTTTCTTTACTTTCGGTTTTCGTTTTGGTGTCTTTTCTTGAGTCATTTGTGTGTCTCTCGAGTATGGTCATGGTGATTTTGAGATTTGTTGAGGATTGTTGATGATGTTGAGGAGATGTGATGATGAGCATGACTAGTATGCCTTGATGAAACTTGATGTTGTGTTTTGTTGGACATTATTTGCCTTGTGAGGTTTGAGCCTTATTTTGTTTCTTGAGAGATATTGGTCGGATTCTTGTTGATCAGAACTTGCTTGTGGTCTTTTTTGAAATGAATTGATTGAAGTAGTGATTTGTGAAGATGATTGAGGCATTTCTTTGACATTGCTCATTTAGACTTTTTCATTGACCCTTGAGATTATATTTCCATTAGTAGCCCGTTAAGCCTTAAACTGTATTTCTTGTCAACCGATTTGATTGAATTATTTGAAGATTTGACAATGAATTTGTTATGATGACAGAGCTCTTAATATGTGTTTGGAGAAGGCGTATAACTTGTTTGAGTTACATTTTGGGTTGTTGACAAAAAAAGAGGGGGGGGGTTCGCAAGACGGACTGAAGGATTCTACTGCTCTTGTTGAAATTTTTTGACGAGTAATGAGTATCGGAAAACTACTCTAGGAAACATGGATGACCTCCAATGTTTAAACCTAGAGAATGTCGTCCTGATGTCTCAGTCTTGTTCAAAAAAATAAACTCCCTAAATAAAAAAAAAAAAGTAAAAAAAAAAAGAAAAGAAAGAAAAGTCGAGTACTTGAAGTGCAATTCAGCTTGAGCATATGTATTTGTTGCATGGAGGTCTGATGAGAATGATTGATGTTGTGATGATTTTGGATAGATGGTGAGATGTTCGAGTGGTTTATATGCTCGAGGACGTGATTGTTTATTTGGACCACTCTATCTTTAAATTTTTCCTTCCCTGATGCCTACACTGCAACCCCAAAGTCCTTTTGATTTACAAATCATTATTTTGATTGTTTTAGAGTATGAATAGACAACGAGCAAGCTTATGTTGATGCATGATGATCGACCAATTTGAGAGTCCCAGTTCTATATTCACAAAAGAAATCGAGTGAGGCATTTATATATATTATATTCTCCTCGGCTGAGTTAATTAATCTGAGGCTTGTCTTATTTGAACTGTTATCCATGCTTGTTTGCTTCTTTTTTTGTCTTTTCTTTTCTTTTTATTCGGGACGAACAAAGGTCTTAGTGTGGGGGAGTTGTTTGTCCCATTTTTGTTGCGTTTTTCGTGATTATTTCTCTTTTCTTTTTCCCCATTTTATGTTTTTTCCCTTAGTTTTGGTCTGTTTTATTTCGTTTCGCGTGTTTTCATTTACTTACAGTCTTTTTGTGTTTTTCGTGTATTTTCTTCGTTTTCTCCGTTTTTGTTTTCATCTAGTGGTGTGCAGGTTGGAAGGCTCCGGGAAGATTTATTTTTATCAATTAATGGACCGGGCAATCCAAGGAAGCTAAAGCTCTTGGCCCATATCACACGATTCTCCTCTATATTCGGACCGGAAATCATCATCTTCAACACCTCGTCGGGCCCAAGTTCGTGGTCATCCGTCCACCTCAGACGACCCCAACACTCGGAACCCATTCAGTCGCTCGTCGAACCTCCACCAATCATTGCTCGACCTCGGGACGCATCAAAAGTTCTCAGTCTGCAGCAGCTGCGACATCCATCACGTCACGCGTCAATGGAGGCTATCTTCTCCGGCTCTTCATCTCCACGCAGCTGCACTACTTCACGG